GTGTGTAACCAAAGATTGTTTAGATAGGTTTTTATTACCTTATCTTTCCGCAAACAATCTTATAAAATATGTATTGATATTCTCTATCAATATATATTTTAAATTTGAAAATATTGTGTTTGTATTCATCCCCCCCTTCTACAAACTGTTTCTCTTCTTGTAGACCCTTACGGGACCAACAGATATGTTGAAAACGAGTAAGCACAATTGGAGCAAAACAAGTGACGTATGTTTCTATGCCTGGCCACTTACTTATTTGACTGTAATTGTATTTACTTGCTTATTTCGCATAATCTTTTTTTAATATGAAGTCTAAACCTCTTTGGTTTTACCTTTTACTCAGTTACTATATGTGGAGTCAACAATATGGCCAGATGAAGTAGTTGACCACATGAGGCCAGCTACAAGTGGATGGAGCTTCGAGATGTTAAGAAAGCGTGAGGCTTGGGAAATAGCCAATGGAGGCCTAGGATCGGCTGAATTGTTGGACATGACAAGGGAGGTGGAAAGAGAGGTACTTATCTACCTTCATTGAATTACATTTAAATGTTTTGCAATGAGTAACCGAAGAAATTTTATATGGTAGTAGTACATGTTAACGAGAAGGAAAATGTATGAACAATCCCTATATGAAACTGTATCATATTTTTGGCACTTGTTTCACTGACCAAAAAATGTTTTCCAAATGAAACTATTTTTATGAAATTGTAACTGAAACTGTTATAGTGAAACAGTTTCACTACTTCAAGCAGTATGCAACTGATTCAACTAGTAAAACAGGTTAACATGAAACTGTTTTATTAGATATCCAAATTTCGAAAATAGGTTAACATGAAACAGTTTCACTAGTTGATATGCAACTGATTCAACTAGTTAAACAGGTTAACATGAAACAGTTTCACTAGTTAATACACGTAGTATGCAACTGATTCACTAGTAAAACAGGTTAACATGAAACTGTTTTATTAGATATCCAAATTTCGAAAACAGGAGGATCTGAATCTGTTTTTGGTATCTGTATGAAATTGTTTTACATGGTCTATAACAGGAAGCATGCACAATTGGACCAACATAGGTGTCCCTTTCAGCTAGTTAAGTAATTTATTACTTCTTATATGAATCTTATAATATGAACAATCCATATACGAAACTCTATAAATATTGTATAGGTTAACATGATACTGTTTCATGTTGTGCTATTGAATGTATGGTTATTTACACAGTTGCTGTAATGTTACTATTGCATTTTTTCACTTGTGCTAGTAAATGCTAAACTATACAAAACCAATTCAAACGTTTACTATGAAATTGTTTCACATGTTAAATGTAATTTTTACTTCACGTAGTGTCAATTGATAACGGTTAACATGACGCTGTTTCACAAATCTATCACTGTTAATAAGAATTTGTTTCAATATGAACATGCAACTGTCTCATTTGTTAATAACATGAAACTGTTAATACCGAAACTGTTTCAATAAGACTATGAAACTGTTAATAACATGAAACTGTTAATAATTAAACTGTTTCAATAAGAATCTAACACTGTTTCAATATGAACTTGTGTTATGAACCAGTTTCACTCCTATTAACGAATTAACATTTTGTTTGTCTTCCTATGATGTGTAGGGGGGAATCAAGCTGATCAAAGACATGGTAGGTCATGTTCTTGCTACAAGGGGTGAAATTGAACAGCGTCTCATTGCGTGCCAGTCCAAGTATCATGGGGATGAAGTTTTCAAAGCTCTTGCTGGTGATCTCAATGTCATATTCAGATCCTCTATGCAACATGATTCAGGTCACAAAGCATTACCCGATGATGTAGACCCGACAGCTGTTGGTGCATCAAGCGACATATGTGTTGGCAAACGTGCTGGCCATGATACCTCGACTGATAATGACCTGAATCTATCACCATTGTCACAATATTGGCTCAGTCAAACATTGCATAAGATATGTTATGAAACAGTCGATAAATCAATTTCTAGTAAAGAGCAGAAGAACCGTCGACTGTTACAAAGCCAAGTTCAAAGGATAAAGGAAAAGGTGTCCGCATCGTAGATGATGCAACGCTAAAAAAATGCAACTGGTTCACCAGATGGCATAGTGAATACGATACCACAAATCACCTGAAGTCAACATACGTTACAACTTCTCGGAGGAGTGTTCGCTTGGGAGATCACCTAAGATCACCGTTCGTAAGGCGGGCTATAGACATGAAGGTAAGTGCAGAAGACAGACGTATACACGAGTGGGCGCTCGCAGAAATTAGATCAACCTTGTAAGAATATGTTTTTACTTAATATTCACTGTATTAAATTGTTACCAAATGGGATTACTAACACATTATCAATGTCATATGTTTCGACTAATATGTGTACGTTTACTTTGCACACCTGTAGTGATATTGTCTTCGAATTGGAGAATTCCACGAACATATTGCAGGGGAATTTGGCAAGCCTAACATCCAAATCTGTTGTGTACACCAATGTTATAGATGGATGGGTTGAATTGCTAAACATGAAGGAAATGTATAGAAGTCGTGACTCACCTCGTCGTTTTTTTTTCAATACAAGTGTATTGGTAAGATTTATAAGAATAATGAAGTTTTTTCAAATGAAACAAAATATGGTTTCATGAATGCTCCCTGACTACGTGACTACCAAACAGGGAGATCCGAAGCTAAGGACTCAACAGGCCGATTTCAATGTTTAGTATGACATTTTCAGCAATTACCTGGCTAAATCAGTTTATTTCGACATGGAAGTTATTAAAATGCGAAATATGGATCTGATATGCTCAACGTTTATTTTTTTTTTTGCATTTAAAATTAGGTAGACATTTATTTTTCACATGACATTACGTAACAGTTAAACACACACAAGCTTTCTTCCCTATTATGGACTGTGGTCACTATTACTTGGTGGTGTTTAACTTCAAGAACCCATCAATTGTAATAGACAACCGATTTTAGAAAGGCAGTCCGATCGAAGACGATATGGGTTTGTATGAACACGTGGTAGACATATTAGTAAGTATACTAACTGGACAATCACTCTCATACTAGAATTTTCTCCACAAATTATATTTTACAATTGATTATTTGTTTGTCCAACATCGCCTTATGATCAATCACCTAAAAGCTGTAGGCCATCCTATCTGGCAAGAAATAGATGAAACGGGTCATGACCGCTTAGAAATGAGTTGGCAAACTAAACACAATTTCGAGGATGGAGGTGTGTTCTTGATGAGGCATATGAAAACTTGGATGGGAGATGAAAGGTCATGGAAGACCGGGTTCACTACAGAGGGGCCAAATCAAAGAACCCAACTAACTGATCTAAGGAAGAAATACACGGCAAAGTTAGTTCTTAGCAACTTCAGCAAAAGAAGGGAGTCAATCGTGAGAGAGGTTGATCAGTTTCATGCAATGGATCCCGAAGATAAAAAGAAAGCAATAGAACATGCAAAAGCAACAAAGAGATCTGGCATAGGCGTTATCATTTAATTGTAAGCGTTGGTTCAGTAAGGATACTTTTGTTTGGGTTTTATTGGAAGGTTAGGACATGAATTTTATAATGTTCTTAGTAGTCACTTATGCGTGGTTCATTTTGGTTTGACTAAACTGATGTGGGTCTTTACAAATACCCAATACCTTGCTAAGCTAGGTAATGCTTAATCTAGTTTCCTTTACAATCAACCGTCATTTTTTGTGCTTGTTCATCGTACTTGTGTTCTATCTCTTCATCATGAAACTATTTCATATTACTCAACCTTCAACAATTCAGAAATACAAGGAAACATTATCATTGCAGAAAATTATATTAGTAATCAAATGCATCACTACCAAAAATCAATGAAACTGATATAAGAAAGCATACATCATTTCATCTGCACCGTCCCAAATCAACTTCATTTTCATGATAACATTATTCTACTTATCATGACTGCACATTGTTTCACCGTTGGCCTAGTAAACCACATTTCCTTCACACGGAAGTTTAAATACAACCACCATCACAATATCCGTTTGTATGCACATGTTTGACAAACACTTTTCTAAACAAAATATATGTACCATTATACAAAACACCAATTAGTTGTACTCCATATGTAGATGCATCAATGTCATCCGAAGTACATTTGAAAGTCTTTCATATTATTTCATTTTACATTCTCTCATTACATGTTTTCACTTTTTCCATTCCACTAAACATGTCATGGTCAATTAATTTACATATTGTTTAAACTTAAATGTTTCTAGGGTAGAAGGTAACTACGTTAGGAAAAAAATGTAAAATTCAAACAAATTTCATCCATAAAATTTTGTTTAAACATGGACAAGTTTCATTACCACCTTCATCATATCACATACTAATCATTTTCACAACCATTACATGAACAAGCTCATCCCAAAAAATTTAAGACCCGACACAAATTCATCGATAACTGTTGCTAAGATAAAAGAAATGAAACAAAAAACAACGTTCGGTCACAAATCAAACAAATCTAATTCGAATACCTAAACCGTTATTTCATACTATCGCCCTTTGACGGACAGTTGCGGGAATCATGCCACCCCATTTTCTCACAAGTTCTGCACAATCTTTTCGGTTTCTTTGCATTCATGGATACCCTCTCTGACATACCAACAAGACGCTTTCCAGTTCCACAACCTTTATTACGTATCCCTGTTGATGGTAAGATATCAACCGATTAAGGTTTGGAAATACATAAGAGCTCCTGAATATCATTTATCTTCTGCTCAGTACCTGTCAATATAGGAACATCAACTGTAATTTCATCACCCAAACGTTCCAATTGCTCCACAAACTCTGTCAACGATCCCTTATCATTCCGTACATCCCCAATAATAAGATCAAACATTGATATAGCCTGGTTGATCAAAACTTGTTTCTCAACATCCATTTCACCGTACCTAACACGAGCCGGCAACAACTCAACAGGAACTAACTATCGTCTCCATCGCGGCAATATGCATTTCTCGGGAAAAGATTGCACCTCAGAATTTAACATTACCTTAAACGCGTGGCGATATAATATACCATTGCGAACAAAATGGTTGCAACTATAATCAAAAGACTCATCCCTTACATCATGAACCACCTAGTGTATCATAAAAGAGAAATTAGAAAAAATTAATAGGAAATGCGATTCTAATTACTTAATGTCAATATGAAATCAAAGAATTGATCATGACCTTGTACGTAGCTTTAACCTCATAATTCTTGTTCTTATGTGTAATACTGTAAATCATCTTATCACCGACCTCTACAACTTCGACAACCCCACAGAACCATACTGCCTTGTTCATTTCCTTTTGCACATAAAAAAAATTGTTTTCGTGTACACTTTCGCTTCTTGCGCTTCAATTTTGGATGGTGACAATAATTTAGGTATTGTAGTTCTAGTTGCAACCTCAAGGGAACAATGTTCTTTCCTTTGACCTTCGATTGCATCGTCGAAAGTGTTAAGAAAATAAACAAGATCATTCTAATACTTCGTATAAACATTAGAAAATGAATTAATACTCTCAGACCTGGAAGTGATTTTCATCAGACCAAACATTGGATAGTCCTTGAAGTAGGCTGGAATCCAAGATTCTCTTATTGCATACATTTCTTCAAACCACGAGTGACCCCGTAGGCCATACTCATCCATCATTGCATTCCATTTCTCCTCAAAAATTTCAGGACTTATGTGGACATTCCATACAAGTTTGTTGAACTTGCTTTTGAACGGCGTGCCATGGGTTAAATGATCACGGATCTTCACGGAGAAACAAGCACACAATCAAACAATAAACAAACCCTTTTTTTCATATGACCAATTTTGAAAAAAAATTGGTGATGAAACGCATAGTAAAGAAACATATGTATGCATATATTAGAATTCAGCCCAATAGATCAAATTAGACATACCTTTTCCTTCACTTTTTTGGTTATGTGCCACATACACAATCGATTAGTAGCTTCTGAAAAAAACTATAGGTATCGCTTGTTTCATTGCTGCACATTGATCGGTTATTACAAACTGCGGCTGACTACCGTGCGCTTTCATAAACGCCTTCAATACCCATGTGAAATTAACGACAGATTCACTTCTAATCAATGAAGCACCAACCACAACGGACTTCTTGTGATTGTCAATTGCAACAAATGGAACAAAAATCATTGCATGTCTGTTACGATGGAAAAGAATCATATTAATCTTTGATTGGATATAAGTAAAATAATTTATAACAAATAATTTAAAATAGCTTACTTGTTTGTCCGAAATGTAGCGTCAAATGATATGGTATTTCCAAAATGTTTGTAATTCATTCTCGCTGTTTCATCTGCCCAAAATATTGCAATCAACTCCTTCTCAACACACTTATATTCAAAAAAATATTCAGGGCAATGTTCCCGCCGTTTGCTCATTTTGTTTATTAACATTTGTGCATCTTTGTTACCAATGAAGAGCAGAATGTCTCTTCTAAAGTTCATATGATCCCTAGCTGTCCCACTAGATGATACTAAACCCCCGTTAATTGCCAATTGCATTCTGCGTGATTGAGTGATACCAACTTTAGAGCTGGATGCATGATAAACATTTTTACGACCCTTGTAATCAAGTTGGTGTCTTGAACGTGTGAACATCTTTTCATCCGAACGACAAAGCATATGATTATGAGCCTCAATGAAATGATAAACCTTGTAACGGCCGCTCTCTTTCACATAGTGTACCTTAAGGCAAGCTTTACAACCAGTACGTTTGAAATTTGTATTACTCCTTCTCCTCTCACCCGAGGAAACTTCTAAAGAATCAAATTCCTTTTTGGGTGGAATACCCTCCTTGCTACAAACGAAATAACGGGTTTGCACTCCACCCAACGAGTTCATTTTTTCCTGGCCAATCGGATATCAAACCCAGCAACATCCACGTATTTCCTATACATATTTTCTACGGAATCAACCGATGAAAAGAATTCACCAACCTTTGGACAAATATTGCTATAAACTTTAGGAATCCATAACTTCGTGCCCCCTGGTGATTCCCCCATTTCTTGTGATAATGCATCTAACAAGTACAAATAGAGAATAAAAGATAGTTATACTTATGAATTTTAACACGATTGATATGTTGCATTAGCTCCTAGTAGTTATCCGCAATCTTTTCAAGTTTATGGAATTCGTTTCATAGTAGGTGTATTTATATATATATATATATATATATAAATAAACGCAATATGTTCAAGTTTATGAAATTCGTTATATAGTAGGTGTATTTTTTTCCGTTTATGAAACTGTTTCATTATTAAATGGTTACACTATAAACTATTTAAACGGTATGAAATAAGTTTTATCCTGTATCAGCACTTATCATATTGTAATTAAACTAATTCATCATTCTTCCTGTCTACTAATGTACTAGAAAATATAAAATAACATCGCATCATAATCTAATGCAACTAATTCATTATGAAATGGTGTCCATTACTTTACTAAAAAACATAATCATATTCTCACATCCTACGAACTAGAGATGGCCAAATCGGCCCGGCCCGGCCCGGGACCGTGGGAGGACCAGGACCAGGACCGACAAAGGACCGGCCCAGGACCGGTTATGGGACCGAAAACCGGGACCGGTTGAGGTTTTTGGTAGTTTCGTGGGACCGGGACCGGTTATGGGACCGACTATGGACCGGCCCGGCCCGAAAATTCAAATAATTGTATAAATAAATGTATTTTTAAATAATTTTATAATGTATTTTTATAAGAAAACGTAATTTTAATTATATTAAAACGCAATTTTGAAGTGTATTTGAGTGACTCAATTGTAAATTTTATAATGTATTAAAAATATATATCATTAAAAAAATCAAAAAAAAAATCTTATTTTTTAATGCAAGAACCGGTTGGGACCGGGACCGACGGCCCATAACCGGTTATGAAGTAACTTGATTGGTCCTATCATTTTCGACCGGGACCGGGACTGGGACCGGTTACGCCGGGACCGGTTATGGCCGGTTATGAAAAAGGCTAGGACCGACTGGGACTGGCCCGGGACCGGTTTTTGGCCATCTCTACTACGAACTGATGAATACAAATACTTCTACTATGAAACGAATTCAATGATACAAAGAAGGACGAACATTATACAAACATTCATATCATGGAAGGTACATCGACATAGGAATTAAAATACAGAAGATATACCATAGCACCCATTTTTCAGTCACATCAGCGTTATTGGAATTGTCATGCATTTCATTCGAACTAATACCTTCTCCCTGCTCACTCATTGTCGTAGAGTAACGTATTTTTCTCTGGATTAAATGATATGAATATATATAACATCCATGTATTTAAATACAATAAATTCATAGTTTTTTTTATTCAAGGCAACGATATCCTGTATATCATATTATTAATGAAACTAATTTATTTTGTAAAGCAATATATTATTTCTACGTTAAAATAACATTCATCAATAAAATATATCAAAAATATAAATAAAACGCACCATAGTCAATTCTATATAATGAATCGTTTCAATAGAATTAAACAAAAAATTGAATTACAATATATGAATGAAATTGATTTCAAAATTTCATCAACAAACTAATCAACATAATACATATCATATTTCGTAGTAGTCATTATACTGGTAGATGGATCCTTTACATTTAGATAACGAAAATTTTTCATTGTTTACTGAGTTCATAAAATTTTATAATAAAACATGAAATAGTTTCATCGTCTTCATTGTTTACTGAGTTCATAAAATTTTATAATAAAACATGAAATAGTTTCATCGTCTTCATTGTTTACTGAGTTCATAAAATTTTATGATAAAACATGAAATTTTACTCATGGTTTGATGAGTGATTTGTTATTTCATGATTTTGATAATGAACTTTATTCACTTTTCGCTAATGCATCAGACTTTTTATTCCTTACCCTGAATTTGTTTCAATGTCCTTCACACACCCATGTAAATATGCACCCTATTCATTATACAATTATTCCAAGATGCACCGATTTCATCATGTACCCGTTTCAGCATGTAATTATTTTATGACGAACCGCATATATTATGCACCCGTTTCATTTTTTTATTTCACCTACTAAATGGATCAACTACACCACCACTGAAACGGGGTTCACCATCAAACCAGTTCACTACTCATTGTTCAATTATGCCATGAACCAGTTTCACCTTCATGAAACTTGTTTCATGTACATTAATTTTCTTATTTCATCCCTGATTTGATGAATTTATTCCTTTAAGTCTTACAATCTTCAAGATTCTGGAGCAGATTACAACATTCAAGATTCTGGAGCAGGTTCATCTTGTACTCGTTTCATCATGCAATTATTTCATGACGAACCAAATACATTATGCACCCGTTTCACTACTCATGCTGAAATTACGCCATGAACCAGTTTCACCTTCATGAAACCTAT